AAAAGCCATATTCCTTTGGGACCATACATGCTAAATATCTTTCCCTTTTTGACCTAGCTGCCAGGAAGCTCAAGGCAAAATTTTACATTTAACTTGATTAGATAGGAGCTTATAACTTGCACTTCTATAGTAAAGGCAATTTCAAAAGGTTGCTGCTTTCATTCTGATATAAATATCATTTCTCCAATACAGAGAGTGAAGGGACTTTAGTAGTTAAGAGTCACAACTCACTCCAGAGTCCAAGCTCATGCCAGTTTACAACATAGTCTTCCTGGATCGCCAAAGGCATTGTTTACCTGGGCATGCTCTAATGCAGAGGCCAAGCAAACTTTCTCTGTAAAGAATCAGTCAGTAAATGTCTCAGACTTTGTGAGCCATGTGATCTCAACTCTACTAAACACTATAGCCATACATAAAAACAGCCATAGACAGAAATTCAGAGTAATTCAATGCATAAATATGAATATGCTCCAAAAGATACATACGGACACCAAGACTTGAATTTTATATGGTTTGGTGTGTCACAAAATATTATCTTTCTTTGAATTTTTGTATAAATTCTTAAAAAGAGCAAATACCATTCTTAGCTTCTGAGCCATCCAAAAATTGACAGTGGCCTGGATTGGGTTCATAGGCCATCATTGTCATTCTTGCCTTAAAGAAATATGTGGGGAAGGAAGAAGAGGTAAATGTTCTCCGAGATAATGTGTCCTTTTGTAGGGGGATACAAAAGATGATTAACACATCATTGCGGAGCTAAATTAAATTATAATTAAATCCAAATCTTTTCTTCTTAGAACATGTGATTTTGCAAGCACAAGCAAAACTGAGGCCAATCCCGTTTACTAGGGTAAAGTATGGATTTGCACAGACTGACCTTTGTGAATCTTGTTTAGAAAATTTGCTTATTCATAGTATTATTGTAATCTTAGTCAATTAAATAGATCCTCATTTCAATAATGGTATTGTTGACAGAACATCATTAACAAAACTGAAATTTGGCAGATTGGTGAAAAGTCGAAGGAATAAGTCCTCTAGCAGTACCACTTACTGTTACATTTCCAGTGAAAACGTGTACATCACCACAATCAATACCATGAGCACCGTCACTACAACCATCATTATCATCATCTCTACAACCATAAGCACCAGCACAGCCACGTTTACCAATATTGTCATCACCACCCTTACACTCATCCCCACAAGCATCACTGCTGCTACCACATCATCACCTCCACAACCACCATCACAGCTACTACCATTACCCTCCTAATACCCAGTGTCACCACCCTTATCACCATCAAAACAGCTGACACAATACAACCAAAACCACCACCACCACTGTCAACACAATCACAACCACATCTACCAGTACTATCATCACTAGCACAACTGTCACCATCAACACGAATACCTCCACAACCACCACCACAGCCACAACCACCACCACAGCCACTACCTTCATTGTCATCCTGCCCACCACCACCATCAGAACAACTGCCGCTAATACAACCAAAACCACCTCCACCACTGTCAAAACAATCACAAACACATCTACCTGTACTATCATCACTAGCAAAACTGTCACCATCCACACGAAACCCTCCACAACCACCACTATAACCACTACCACCATCGTGTTTGCAACGTATTGTAAACAATTATGATCATGCCACCACCACCATCATCTGCACCACTGAAATGACGACATCCCCTTCTACCACACTAATCACCACCATCACCACTGCCAAGACACCACAGTCACCACCATCATTACATCTTCCAGTGCCATCATCACTACCCTAACCATCATTGTCATCATTGCAACCTCAAACACTATCACCACCATCATCATCATAAAAACCACCACCATCATCTCTAAATCCTCACCACCATCTCCAAAACCACCACCACTACCAAAACAAGCACCACTATCTCATCTTTCATGCTCAAGATTAGAGAGAAATGTGACTCAACACTTTTGCTTCATACCAGTTTCCAAGTCTATGAGATTCTTTCTGTCTCTCCTCTCCTTCATTTATACCAAAGTCTAAAAGCATATATTCAATTGAGTTATTTCATTTGTACTTACCATTCTAAGGAAATAATCTAAATGTGAATAATTCTAAAAAAAGATGTTTCCCAACTAAATATTCATAAGAATGGAAATTTTACGAATATAAAAAGCAAATAATTTGGAAATGGTCAGGTAAATTATGAAACATCCATGTAATGAAAGAGATAAGGTGATTAAGAATGTTTGCCAAGATATTTAGATATTGAAAAATGCACATTATACAGTATTAATTAAAATATACACAATACACGTAATTGGCTTCAGTTATGAAAAACTTCAGAAAAAATAAGACTGGAATAAAACACACACCAAAACAATAATAGTGCTTTTCAACGGAATGATGCATTTATTTATGGGAAATTTTAATTTTTGTGTTTATACTCGTCTTCATTATCCAACTTCTCACTAATGAAAAGTATTAAGCCTATAATGAGAAAAAGTATTTTGAAAAAAAGGTAAGAGATCACCTTCCAGCTTTCAAAGCACAATTTTAAAAAGTGTCCCCTCATCTGAGAAGTCTTTCTTTTCTGGATCTGCTCGGCATTAATCTCACCCCTATCCCACTTTGCTCCCCTACATTACCGTTTGCACCCTATTATACACATTTTATTTATTTTATTCATTTTTATTTAGTTATTTGAGACAGGATCTCATTCTGCCGCCCAGGTTAGAGTGCAGTAGCGTGGTCTCAGCTCACGGCAACTTGTACCTCCCATGGTCTCAGCTCATGGCAACTTGTACCTCCCAGGCTCAAATGATCCTCCCACCTCAGTCTCCCAGGAAACTGGAACACAGGCCAATACCATCATACCCAGCTAATGTTTTTCTGTTTTTTGGTATAGACAAGGTTTCACTATGTTGCCCAGGCTGGTCTCAAACACCCGAGCTCCACCTACTTCAGCCTCCCAAAGTGCTGGAATTACAAGCATGAGCCACCACACTGGGCCATATTTTATATCATAACGTGTACCTTGGATAGGTGTGACATTCCTGTAGCCATTTAGATGGACTCTGGCCTGTTGAATACTGAAAATTTCAAATTTCCTTCCTTCCTTTTTTCTTCCTTCCTTCCTACCTTCCTTCATCTCCCTGTCTTTTCTTTCCTACTTCCCTGTTTCTTTCCTCTTACAGATACTTATTGAGCACCTATTATAAGGATAGCCCTGTTCTAATCCCTGAGTACGTACTGGTGAACTAGACAGGCAAATGTGCCCCCTTTGTAGAGCATGTAGGATCTACCTTACCGTCTACTTGGGGAGACAGGAAATACACAAACGTAACAAGACAGATGACCACAGTGTACGTGCAGTTTGCTTCTGCCTGTGTCACCTCCTCATCCTGACATTATGCAGCCCTGGTTGGCAGGCAGCCCACTGATGAGACCCAGCCCTACTCCCCAGCACAGAGCGTGGGTTTCTTGCGGGCACTCGCAAGAACACGTGATCCTCCTACCTTCTGTGCTTCATCTAGGAGGAGGTGCAGGGTTGAGGCATGAACCCCTGTCCAGCAGTAGGGGCTGGTTTACCACCTCAGGGCCGAGGCAGGCCACTTCTCTGCCTGGGGTCGGCCTGCGAGTCTAGTACTTCCCAAAACCATGGACTTGTTTTGATCCATCTGCTTTCCAGAGCAGCTCTTTGACTACCTTGGAAACTAGTGGAGTCCTCCAGCCACTTGGAGGAAAGCCTTGCAGGATATGCTCATTGCAGGTTAACCTACTGCCCTTTCAACTGCATGAAAGCACACACACAAAAACTTGCTTCTCTGCCTTGGACAAATAGACTAAAAACAGAGTAGTCCAGCTTAGCCAAAACATTGCCTCCATTTTTTTTTTTTTTTTTTTTTTTTTGAGACGGAGTTTCGCTCTTGTTACCCAGGCTGGAGTGCAATGGCGCGATCTCGGCTCACCGCAACCTCCGCCTCCTGGGTTCAGCCAATTCTCCTGCCTCAGCCTCCTGAGTAGCTGCAATTACAGGCATGCACCACCATGCCCAGCTAATTTTTTGTATTTTTAGTAGAGACGGGGTTTCACCATGTTGACCAGGATGGTCTCGATCTCTTGACCTCGTGATCCACCTGCCTCGGCCTCCCAAAGTGCTGGGATTACAGGCTTGAGCCACCGCACCCAGCCTGTATCAATTTTTAAACTTAAAGGGCCATCAAACTTATTGGTGATTTTATTTGACTATTTGCAGATACTGAGCCTCACTCCCAAAGGACTTGAGAAAGCTCGCAGTAATGTACTGGGATTAACAAAATAGAAATTAGTGAAGAATTTAGGAAAATTAGAAAGTACTGTAGAAGAAATATCACCAAGCTAGGGTAAAGTAAGTACCCAGAATGAGACACTAGGTCCTTCGTAGAAGTCAGAGACACACAGAGCCTCCCAAGATGGAGACACGATTAATCGCATGAGTCCCGAAGTCCATAAAATAAAATACTTTATTTTCTCTGGAGAAGTCAAGTTCTTTCGATGAGGGCTGGTGTAATACCAGTGCTGGCTCTGAGAAGTTCTAAGAAGGTTCTGAGAACTCTGCAGAGACACAAGAGCCACATGGGCTGACCTAATGTAAGCATGAATCTGAGTGTCTTGGAGAAATGGCCATGCAGTGTGGGCTTGATAGGGCTGGCTGGGCAGTCATTCCCTCAGCTTGGTCATGGGCAGGGACCACGGCCAGGGCTAGGAGGACGCGCCCTCTGCTGAGATCTAGGCAGCTCTTTGAAGCAGCCAGCGGAGAACCCACCTGCTGTGCTTCAGCTGTGTGTCAGAGGGTCAGTGGGAACTGTGCCGTGAGACCCAGAGAGAGCGTCTCCTCTGAAGTCGGACAGGTGGTGTTTTATACGTCAACGACATATGCCAGGGTTGTGTGTTTTTGTAAGTGTCAGGCTTGAACTGAGCAGGTGGGGATGCTAGAGCCAGTCCTCCTCAACTCAATTCCAGCTCAGGCGAATCATGTCACTTTCTCAGATGTTTCCTCATCTGTCAAATTGAATATAAATAGGATCTTCCTTGTACTGTTGCAGGTTTCATCATGAGCTCTCAGAACCGAGACCAGAACACACTGGGAGTCTGGGTAGGTTTATATCCACATCTTGTCCCTGTATTTGCGTGGTGAAGATGAGCAAAGGGCTATTTTTAAAGATTCCTGTGGACATTTCTCTATTCCAGCTGTGTGTGTGCAGAGGGGATCAGGGAATAGGCAGAGTTTATCTTCATAAAAAGACTGTTTTCATGTTTGGGAAATTAGCTTATTTGGCTTATTGGCTTGAAGGTTGAAAGCATGGTTTTATAAGATGAATATGAGAGGTTAAGGAGTTAAAATGTTCTGTTTAATAAAGCTCATTTCCTTTCTTCTTTCTTCCCTCCCTCCCTCCCTCCTTCCTTCCTTTCCTCCTTCTTTCCTTTTCCTTTCCTTCCTTTTTTCCTTCCTTCCTTTATTTCTTCATTTCTTCTTTCATCCCTCCCTCCCTCTCTTCTCTCCCTTCCTTCATTATTAATTCTTTCTTAGCATATATAAGTACATAAATATCATGCACATCCATGCTTTTTTTGTAGAGTGTGGAACTGCCTAGGGAGAGTTTTCAGGGAGTTATTGGGACATGAGAGAGAAAACTGAAAAGAGAAACAAGTCTCTGCTCTGAGGAAGGATGAATGAACCTCTGGGGATGGGCAAGGGCTAAGTAGAGAGACTGCGAGCCCAGGACCCACCCATGCCGCAGGATGGTCCAGTTACCTGTGGATGCGGTGTCTGACATAATGTCTAATATCTAACTTTGAGTGGTCCTTCCTGTGTTGTAATTCTCCTGGGGCACACTTAGTGTTTCTATGGAAGTGCTTAACCACTGCTGTCTGGTATTTAATTAGCATTTTTTTGGCAAATGAATGAAGGATGAAGGATGCCATCCACTCTGTGAATGAACAGTGGGTAACAGGTGAAACATTATGGGAGGTGATGAAGTCTGAATGGCCAGAGAAGGAAGAGGCTGAGGGGTGAGCAGTGATGGAGGTGATACAGAAGTTCTTTGGCGGGGGGAACACTGAGTTTCTGCAGAAGGTACTCTTGATATCACCAGGCCAGGGAGCCTGAGGACACTTCAAGCAAGGTTAGAGAGCACATGGATAATTCCTAGAACATAGCATGGGATGAGAGCATCCTCTGCTATCTGAGATGATGTGTGTGGCATTGAAAGGAGTGGAGCATGCCGCTTTATCTCTAAGCAAACATATGCGTTCATGTGTCTTTCCCATTCAAATTAGCCCAAAGGTACCCAGAAAAAAATAAGGTTTTTCAATTTCCAGAAATATTTCTAGTCAGTCACACATGTAGTTGAATGCACTCACCTATTTCTTGAGCATTTATTGTTTGTTGTCACTGTAGGGGACACAGGGATCCAGGGGCACCAAGAACCAAGCGAACGGCACTGGTTGGTAAAGACACTCAGAGAAGAGAAGTGACTTTGAGTCATAGACTATCTGACACAAATTTTAGAAACAATCCCTCAGGGCTTCACAGCAGGCAGAAGAAAGACTAGAAGCTCCTTCTAGTGACTTACAAGTACCCTCACCCCACAAGGTGAAGTGTCTCTGCAGGGGGAAGAGGAATGGCCATGTCTTGTCATCCCATGTGGTGCCTGGAGCAGTGCTGAGCATTTTTAATACGTCCACTCACCTCCTCCCAAGGACCAGCCTGGAAACAAGGCTCGGGAAGCTTCAGCACAGGCTCACAGGATGGCATTTACAAATGGTGGAGCTGGTGTTCGCTTCCAGCTGGTATTTGACAAGTCTGTGTGTTAAGACGGAACCTCCCAGGATCCAGAGTTTTGTTCCGTCTTATGCTTTGTTTTCCACACGTTTTCTTTCTATTGTCAACGGACTCAAGACTCCAGATTGATAATCAAGACGATGCTTGGTAAGTTGAGAAACAGAGTATGGGGAGTAGGCTGCGCTGAGAGGGTCTGTGTCCTTCACCCCACTGAGAGCACGTCTCCAGGGACTGAATGCTCCTGTTTCTTGAATCCAGGACTGTGCTGAATAAGCAGTCTCTTGAATTCTCTTTCTCTTTTTTTGTCTCTGTCACCCACACCCCTCCCTCATAGGCTCCCTGTAGTCCAGGCAGCCCCTTCCTGGGCACATGGCGTTTCTTCCGTGCCACAAAAGCACTGTGCAATTGATTCCGTGTCCATTTTCTCAGGTTTAACTCATTCCTATGAGGCTACTCCAGGAGGGCTGTGCTGGCAATTCTTAAGCCCCCATTTGGAGGCTCACCCTGGGCAAGGACTGGAGCTAAGGTCCAAGGAGAAATTGAGTTCTTAGGAAGAAGATGCTGACATGGAGTTTGGAAACAAGATGTCCATCGGAGATCTACACCAGAGAGAGGAGGTAGGGGAGACCCTCAAGCAGGGCAGCAGGCCTAGCAGAGGTTGGCCACCCCAGCTCTGAGATGAGCACTGCCCCCAGGAGACCAGAAAGTGACTGGCTGATGGCGAGGCCCAGGCAATTCCACACTGCTCAGTGCCCAGATATGGGCTGTCTTTGGAAAGGCATGCACGTGGGTCTGAGATCTGGGTGCTGTCTGTGGATGGCTTCCTGGCCAGGGTCTCTGGGAAGCCTGTCTCCATACAACTACAGATCTTTTCATAATTATTTAATTTCTGCCATTATCCCAGAAGATAGTAATATGGCTCCCATTTAATAGGTGAGAAATTTGAGTCCTGGTCAGTAACTTGCCTACAGTCGCATGGAGAGTCTGGCAACCAAGGTTTGAGTCTGGGGCCATCTCCCACACACATACCTGACCAGGTGCCCCAGAACGTCTCTGATCCACATTTACTGAAAGGAGCTTGGCTCTGTTTTAAAGACTCTGACCTCAGCCAGGCACAGTTGCTCAAACCTGTAATCTCAGCACTTTGGGAGGCTGAGTGGGGTAGATCACGAGGTCAGGAGTTTGTGACCAGCTTGGCCAACATGGTGAAACCCCATCTCTACTAAAAATACAAAAATTAACTGGGCATGGTGGAGGGTGCCTATAATCCTAGCTACTCAGGAAGCTGAGGCAGGAGACTCACTTGAACCCAGGAGGCGGAGGTTACAGTGAGCTGAGATAGTGCCACTGCACTCCAGCCTGGGCTACAAGAGCAAGACTCCATCTCAAAATAACTAACTAACTAACTAACTAACTAACTAACTAACTAAATAAATAAATAAATAAAGACTCTGATCTCATCTGCCATGGGTTTATACATACTCTATCTCTCTTCCCTCTCAGTGCGTCACCTTATTCCCAGTAAGAATTGCAACCCATCTGGCAGAGCCTCCCTTTCACCTCTCTGGAGGTTGGACTGGGGAATTGTCATTTACCGTGGTGAAGGACACAGAGCAGCCCCCAGAAGAAATTTCCCAAAGCACCCAACTCCCTCCTCAGATAAAGCAAAAAGCCTGTCTCCTGGTACTCCATCTTCAGGGATGAGAAAAGAGTTTCCTTCCTTCGTTTCCCGGATGAGAAGATGCCTGTGCCCCTGGGTCTGAGTCCCTTGTTGGTCTGAGAAGGCCCCAAGTTTCTCCCTCTTGAAGAAAACAGACAGTTCATCCCCAGGACTTTCTGGAGACAGAGGGGAATTGGGCCTGGAGGGACTCAGTCATGTTTTGGTTTTGGGACTGTAGGGGCAATGGGGCATTCTTACTTAAACCCAGGTTAACTGCCTCACCAACCTTTGGGGTCATGCCCTGGGACATCTTTGTGTCAAGTTGGGAGCCGAAATAAATAAATAAATAACTCCCTCCCTCTCTCGATGTTGCCCTACTGTAATTGTATATTTATTCAGGAGGTTGGCTTTTCCAAGCACCTGTCTTCAACAGCCTTATCACTGCGTGAGCTTGTATGGGAACCAACACGTCCAGCTGTCATAGCACACAGCCTGCGGCATCTTTGTATGAAAATAAGGCAGGCGGCACCTGATTGGGGAGAATTTTTAATCTCGACAATTTGTGTCTAAATTTGGGGGTGACCAGCCTGTCAGCGCCGGCGACCCAGTCGTTCTTTGAGGTCGACGCAGGTGGCAGCTGCCACAGCCTTCACACTTCTTTTTTATTATTATTATTATTTTTCGGGAGGAAAAGGGGAGGGAGGCCATTGGGGAGGGAGGGGGAAATAAGGGGGGAAAAAGCTGCGCTGCTATTTTTGTCGCATTTTCAAATCCTGTTTTAGTGCAGGAATTTAATTATACATATTTTCATCATTTCTTATATTCTGACATATTAATTAAGGACGCTCTAATTCAGTTTCTGTAGCACCGTTGGCTTACTCTGTAAAAACATTTTACTGTTATTGTACAAATAAGAAATGAAAAGGTAAAGGCAGGAAGACTCTGGGATGTTGATACATGTGTGCCCCTCCCTCTGCCACCCTCCTCTGTGTCACAGAGGAGTTGGGACCATCATCATTTTACAAATAAAAGATTAGAGTCGCCCCAGCTCTTCCTGCTCTGCCTGGGTCAGCCCTGCAGAGGAAGTGGACTCCCAAAAGCTGCCTTGCCCATGTGGCCATCAGGCCCCTCCCGGGGGCCTGGGGATGGAAGGTGAGGACAAAAGGCAGGGAAGGGTCTTACAGGGACCATCTAAGGCAGGTCTGCGGGGCCAGCTGGGGCTCACCAGGTGTGTTTTGCATTCTGCAACTGCTTCAGGCCTTTTTATATCCTTTTTCTCTAAGTCTCAAAAACATTCAAGGTTGGTATTATTATTTCCATTTTACTCATGAGAAAATAAAACCAAATAATTATGAGCAGTTACTGACATGCTTAACCTAATGCTATATATTGCCCAGCTCTGTCACTTAGAAATGTCCTCTGCTCCTGGATGGGGGCACAGGACAGCACCCCCAGACTGCTCATGAAGTCTCATATGATACATGGAGAGCGGGCCTCCTCCGCTGGAGAGACCTGGCAAAATCACAATAATTCGTGGGATACATGAGTTTCCAAGAGAGAGTGCACCTGGGCGTAAGGGACTGTCCAGCTCTGTCTCTTATAGAGATGCCCTATAACTTGGTTTTAACTTAGTTATCACTTGAGGCCATATATACAGGGATGGGAAGTAGGGACCTTATGTCTGAGCTGCAGATTCCAAGGCCCCGCAAAAGGGTGTTTACATCCAGAGAGGAATGTCCACAGAGCATCCCACGACAGCGGTGAGAGAAATAAGTTAGGTTCTGTCCCTACCTGCCTTGAAGGTCAAACTAGTGAATTGCCAAAGGAAACCCCTGTGACTTGACTCTAGTCAAGAATGGCCAGGAAGCTGGGGCACGATGTCTCACGCCTATAATTCCAGCACTTTGGGAGGCCAAGATGGGAGGATCATCTGAGGTCAGAAGTTCAAGACCAGCCTAACCAACATGGTGAAACCTCTTCTCTACTAAAGATACAAAAATTAGCCTGGTATGGTGGTGGGCACCTGTAATCTCAGCTACTTGGAAGGCTGAGGCACGAGAATCTCCTGAGCCTGGGAGGTGGAGGTTGCAGTGAGCTGAGATTGCACCATTGCACTCCAGCCTAGGCAACAGACCCAGACTCTTCTCAAAAAAAAAAAAAAAAACCAAGAAAGAAAGAACGGCCAGGAAATGCATCTTGGGAGAGCCTGAGAATGTTCTAAACTAGAATCTGAGGGTTGAACATAATCTGGGTGCGATGGAGGTAGCTCAAGCAGAAGCTTCATGTGGGGAACAGCAGTTTGAGAGGAGGAAAAGGTCTTTTCCGTAACTCTAATGAAAGTTGAGATGGAGGCAGGGAACAGGGAGGCAGGAACCAGTGCTGGAGGTGCTACAGGAAAAGAGTTGCTAGAGCTTGCAGGGCACTGTGAGCTCCTCAAAGAGGGGGGTCACCCCAAAGGACCAACAGAGAGCCACCGGGGAGTTTGGAGTTAGATGAGACATAGTCAAATGTGTGCTTCAACGCAATTGTCATTTTCTTCCTTTCCTTCCTTCCTTCTCTTCCCTCCCTCCCGGCTGCCCTCCTTCCCCACTCCCTTTCTGCCTTCTTTCCTCTCTCTCTCCCTCCTCTCCTTCCTTTTCTCTGACCCTCGCTCTTTCCTTCTCTGTCACTTTCTTATTCTCTCCCTTCTTCTTTTTTTTCCTCTCTCCCTCTTTTTTTTTCTTTCTTTGACTTGCTTCTCTTTTCCAAGATAATGTTTACCATCAAGCTAAGAAACATGATGTCTGCTGTCAAGCTGAGAAACGTTTTTTTCCTTGGGGATTTCAAGACCTGGCTAGGGGTTTGAGAAGGTGGGCCTAAAGCAGTGAATCCTAAACATGCTGGGATTACACCGGTGATATTGCGTAGTTTTCACAAGTCTGGGAAACTTACCCAAGATGCCCTTGGCGTTTGAAGCTTGGGTTAAGAGCCTCTGCCTGAGGTCCTTGCCAGGCCTGAATGCTAAACAATGCATGCTCCCTCAACCATGTCTCCTGTCTATGCTCATGGACAGCCCGTTTCTTTGTCCATGAGCATAGACAGGAGATGCCCAGGTGACCCTATGATGCCCAGGTAACCCTAGGTCCATAACGTCACCTGGCTGACAACCTTCACTCTGTTTCCTTGCCTTGGCCTTTCCAACACCAGGTGGTCAGGAGCACACAGGTACTCATAGGTAGGAAGGAACTGAAAAGGTGGCCAGGGCAGAAGATACCATTCTTACTCCTCACCTTGGCTATTCTGGTTCTCTAGCCCTCAATCACCCTATTGTCAGCTGCACCCCAAAATGTCCTCTCTCCCCCAAAGATCTGCTCCTGGTGGGGGGTACAGGACAACACCCCTGGACTGTCCATGAGTTCTCATGTCATACATGGAGAGCAGGTCTCCTCAGCTGGAGAGACTTGGCAAAATCATAATAAATTGTGTGATACACCCTTTCCCCAGGAAGGGGCACACCTGGGTGTAAGGGAGCCTCCAGCTCTGTCACTTAGGAAGGAAACAGACCGTCTTTCTACCTGGCAGCCATTTCCTTAGGGCTTGTGGAACCGCTGAAAGAAGCAATGAAGACCCAGAAAAAAAAAAAAAAGTTCTAGCTCCCTCTTGCACCAGGGCATGCTGCCAGGGAAGCTCCCTTGGGGATGGTGACACTTGTGCTGTGGAGAGAGAGAGAACATGTGTGGGAGAACAAGAAGCTTCAGACCCCTGACTATGGGACATCAGGCTAAAAAGCACAAGGACATTCACAGTGTTGCACAATTACTGTGTCATGCAACAATTCGCTTCAAAACAATTAATTTTATGTTACGTGAATTGCCCCGAGGCATGTGTTTAACAGAACCTCCATGTTTATTGCTTTCTTTCTACTGAGACAACTAAGCAAGGCTGCCTTGGGAGCTATGGTAGCGCCTGTATGGGGGAAACCTTAGGAGCGTTCAAAGCCTGCACCTTCAGCAAGCCCCACTATCCATCTTGCCCTCCATGGCTGGACCTGGTCCCAGAATTCTGCCTGGCACGATCCCTTATGCCTCAACTATGTCCTGGGACCTCTCCCTGGGTGTACGGTACTATCAATCACTTTTAGCCTCTCTTGTGTCCTCCCAGCCTGAGGCAGCCCAGCCTCTGGGACCTTCCACATGGACCAGATTCAACCTCTGATTTGCACTGATCTTATGAATCCACACTTTAGACTTTGCAAGTGGTCTCTTCCATTTTTTCAACATTGTCCTCTCTTAAAGGGGTGACTGGCTGGGCATGGTGGCTCAGACCTGTAATCCCAGCACTTTGGGAAGCCAAGGCGGGTGGATCACCTGAGGTCAGGAGTTTGACACCAGCCTGCCCAACATGGCAAAACCCCATCTCTACTACAAATACAAAAAATTAGCCAGGCATGGTGGTGGGTGCTTGTAATCTCAGCTACTTGGGAGGCTGAGGCAGGAGAATTACTTGAACCTGAAGTTAAAGTTTTACCCAGAGAGAAAGGAGATAAACAGAAGGCGAGATGGAGCCAAGAGACAGAAGCCAGGCTGAAAGTGAACCGACGCAAACCCTGATATTCGACATGGGCATCAGTGGGCATTTGCTCCCCACCCTGGGGAAGCGATGGGCACAAAGCCTCTTGGCCTGTCTGGCAGACCTGGGAATTTAATACCCAGAGAGACACTCAAGTGGCAAAATCCTGGGTGCCCTGAATTTGGAGAGAGCCTTTGGTTTACACACACATACCTCAGGGACAGACAGCCCTGAAAACCAGTTGCCTCATCCTTGGCCTGTTGGCAAAGCCATTATGAATTTATTCTCTCTCTCCGGAATCTATAGGCCTCTTGACTCTTTCAGACTTCCCTAATAGACTTTGATTCACAGCCGAAATGAGGTTGAAGCTGCTGATAGCGCGTCTCGGCCACCTCGGGAAAGCAATGCTGGGCGCTGATGCTGGAACGTCAAAACAAAGGGGGATTAGAAGTCTTGGCTGAGTTCTGCCGCTGCGGCTCCGTGTCACTGTTAAGAGGGACGGATTAATATCAAGTTTCGGGGATCTGGTCGCTCACTGATACTGCCTAATTATCCAGATAAGTGATCGGCATCCAAGCATGAGTGGCAGCATCTATCTCAGGGACATCCTCTTTTTTTTCCTTCTCTTCTCTCTCTTCTTATTTATTTAGTTTTTGGAAAGAAATTATTCACTTAGGTTTCACTGAGATACATATTTAAAAATTCTCATTAAACTGTAAACACAAACAGCAGCCGTGGCTGGGTTAATTTTTGTATGTTTGTCACATCACAGGAGGAAAGGAGTAGTGTTTGCTGTGGCCAGCAGCCTCCGCC